TATTCTACATAAATATAATTCATATTATCTTATTCAAGAAAATACTCTTCTCTTATCTAATGATATCCATCTATCTTATGGTGATAAACTACGTGCTGTAGAACAGTAAATATGTTTTGTTTAATTTGAGAAATGTATTTTTTACTTTTGTGATAGTATGGAAAGTGAATTACATGAATATTTATTTTATTATCCTCGAAATGTTTCACATTTCTTATGGTTGTATAAAACATCTGAATTTCTTTATTGTAATCGTGAATTAGCAGATAAAATGGAAAATGAATTTCATTTACGTCAAAATATTACTCAGTTACAGCTAAGTATCACACCAATGAAAAACGTCGCTTATGCACTGGATAAACTTGAGAAACATTATTGGCTTGCTGGAGGAGCTTTACTTGGTATGAAACTCTTCTTTATTAATTTTTGTAGAAAATTATATTCAGTTGTAAGGATGGTATCGTCATTGTGGTTTGATACCATTTACAGAGGATGCAGATTTTGGTCTATATGCTGAAGAATATGATGAAAGTATACGAAATTATTTTCTTGGAAATCCTGTTACTTATCTCTACAGTGCATTAGGACTTGTAAGTAATTTATTAGTCTTATTTTAATTTCTGGTATTGAAATTCTTTCTGCTTTTCTCTTGTTTATTTTTGACAACAGGACTTTTCATAAACCTCATTTGTAATCTATAATCTAATCTAAATTCACAAATAATGTCACACGCTTGTCTTTGTATGTTTCGTCTCGTTGTACAATACTGTTTACAAAAGATATACAAAATCTGATTTCTACAAAGTCTAATTTCTCATGATTCTCTTATATTGTAATACATTTCTTTTATTTTGCTGAGAGAATGTGAAAAGTTTTGTAAATTAGAACAGTATGTTATCATACGGCAGTTTCAAATTTTACATAAACAATGTATTGGAAACAGAACTTATATCTCTCAAATGTAGCAGTTATAAAACAAACACTATGTTTAGTTCGCTATTTACATTTTTATTATATAAGAATCTGTATAAGATTTAATATTTTAGATCAAAAATGTTCCATTTTCATAATGGCATCATGTCTATAAATCGAAGCTTTAATAATTTTACAAAGCAAAGTCTTAAAATCACGAAAACAATTTCTTTTTGTTGATAAACTCTATTTTGTAACATACGGATGTTTCTCTTTGATTTGTAATGAGAAGTTATGTAGAATACAGTAAAAGCTCTAGTAAAATCTTTATTTCGATAGACTCAAGCATACTATCGTACTCTTTCAAATTTTTCAAAGCATGGTTTTAGTTTCATTTGCTTACATGGCTGATCAACCATTAATATTCTATATATCAATCCATTTAAAAATTTTAAATAGGTAAATGATTCACTTGAATTTCGTCTTTATACGGACCAATGGACACTTGATCTATTCTGGACATATCGTGAGAAAGATCATCGATGGTGTGGCTATCTAGCACAAAGAGCAAAATATAGGTATATTACTTTTTCACATAGCAAATATGTGATTGAATGATGGTTTTGTATTTTAATAATATTAATGATGATTCATACAAAACAGAATATTTTTTCGTATAAATTGATGATTGAATAATAAATATGTATCTTATATTCTAGACGTACTCTTCCATTATTAGAAGAACTTTGTTCATGCGATTTATTTGGTCATCGCTTTTCCATTCCATGTTCACCTGCGGATTATCTTGATGGTGAATATGGAAAAGATAAATGGAAGACTCCATTAAAGAAGGACTATGTATGGACTAATATAAATTATCATTCGGTGTGGAATGATATATCATGGATGTATGCTGTACGTTTTTATACATCTAAAGGAAAACTTCGTACGGATAAATTTGCAATAGATTCCATATCGGAACATTTCAACTATTCTCTCACATCAATTCCATCATTTCTTAATGTTATACCTAATGAACCGGTGACACTGCCACCACTTAAAACTAATCTTGTTTATCATTCCTTGTTACTGGAAAAAATGTCTCATAAAAAACAACGTAATGAATAATATGAAAACAAGTTGAACAAAATTTTTCCTTATTATTTTATTTGTCTTTTCATAATAGATTTTTCTAATCTAACATTTATTGCTTTCATTTATCTGTTGATAACACCCAAACCCTCAAAAATCATTTAAGACATTGTTTTATTTTATTCAATAAAAATTTACTTCAAAGAATATATCATGTGATTCATTTTTTTTATCTGTTAATCCTAGAAAAGAATTCAATAGCCAAATATAAAACTCCAATCTTGTAAAAGTATAATATGATATGAAAATAATGATCTTCAAATTTTTTTCGTATAAATTTTACATAATCAGAAAAAAAAACTTTGACAGATGGCAGGATTAAGGGGTGGAGGTTGGATGGTGAAAAGAATTTTATTTTTAAGTTGATGACTAAATATAAATCTATCTCAAGTCGTTTTATTCATTTTCTTACTTCAAATAGTTGTTTTTTTTTTGTTTTACTATTTTTGTAGACATGAATATTCTTCTTTTTAAACGACACCGTAATCGTTAATAATCACGATATAAATTTGAATAAGCTCGTGTAGAAAGAATATCAAATTCTCTTCATTTTATTGTTATATAACTAAATGAAGCTATGAAAATTTTCTTTAGTATAGATCAATATTAATGTGTAGAAACGAGTTGTTGATGATGAAATGTCATTATACATAATCCTTGAAATAGTATATGACAATTATCCTTGGCTTCCTTTTATTTTGTTGATGTAGATGAAAGTTAATTAATCGAAAATATGTTCATCTGTGTCTTTAAATAAGAAGCTAGCTTTGATTTTCAGTTACTCACCAATTCAATATGAAAATAATAAAAAGAAATATCGAATTATTTCACTACTGAGTTTCATGTTCTTTATAATAATATAAACATTCATTAGTTCAATAAAAAATTTTCATAATGAATAATTAATTTAAATAAACATTCAATCGTCACTTTTATTTTGTGTAGTTGACAACTGACAAGCACAACCCTCGAATTATTTTTCTTTATTCATACAGTTGTCTGCATAAATAAAAGAACGAGTACTAAACATACGAATGGTCGTTAAGTGCGAGTGTATTATATATCAACATATAAACCTCTTTAAATATATAAAAAAAAAGAATTGTCTTGTTCTCTTTCATTCTTAACGTTTATCAAGAAAGACGTAATATTTTATCGGTCTTACGATTCTTTGCATATTCGATCAATCATTTAAAATATGAACTCAACTAAAATGACTCAAACTGGTCAATATAATGAAATAATTAGCGCACTTCTGACCTTTTTGTCGACCTATATGATACATACTTAATATAAACGAATTCTACACTTGGAGCTATTATCGTCACACTATTACTCGATTATTTTAAAGGTTATTGGATCAAGTGAACTGTAAATGTAAGTGATTTTATATCGTAATTTATTTGAATTTTTTTATCGCTCTTCTTCTTAATGTGTGTTGCCTACGTATGTTTGCTATATATATTATGTCAATTAGATTGTTAACTTGAATGTATAAAATAAGATTTACATAATTCCAAAAAAACATCAGCAATATTTCATTTTTTGTATGCTGATCGATTTCATCAAAATTTTCAATATTTAACAAGTACTTATCAAATGTTTATCGATCGATTATTCTTATGAAATCGTCATCTATTTAGTCGCATTCACACTTAATAATAAAAAATATAGAAAATTGTCTTTTATAAATCATGATTTAATTGAATTAGCAAAATGTACTGTATTATTCGTTGTTGATGGTGGATTATCATCAATCGCATAACAACGCAAATGTTGATAATGACTTGAACCATCGCGACGTATTGGAACAACTGGTTTCTCACGAAAATATCGAAGTCTAACAAAATAAATATATTAAATATTACAAAAACAAAATAAAATAATAAACTAATATTTAAACCTTTTGCCCATTAATCCACCTGATTGACTATCTCGTAGTCTATTAATTGTATCAGAAACATTATTTGCTATTGTTTCATCATCGATAACTGCATGTTTATTCATAATTACTGGGGGAGCCTAAATTATTTTTATGAACATTGATATATTGGATCAGTTGTAAAAATTATTATTACTTTCTCTTTCTCTTTTTCTTTCTCTTCCTTTTCTTTTTCTTCTTCTTCTGCTTGTGTTTGTTGAGATTTTGGTAAACTTTTTGGATCAGTTAAAACATCCAGTGGTACTAATGGATGTTGATATGTTGCTGGATCATACAAATTCCATGGAATAGATTGTCCAAATGTTCCTTTTTTAGTTACAAATCACATATTCACAATTAAAAATATACATCAAAATAACTAACTAAATATTACCTATAAAATGTCCATGAAGATTCCAAAGACGTATTGTCCAATCAAGTGAACAAGTAATAAGTGTTTGTGCTATAGAATTAAAAAGGAAAAAAAAGAAATTTTTGATTATTGACAATAAAAATTACTTATATACTTTGATCAATATAGAGAAGTCCAGTCACACTATCAACATGACCACGCCAATTTCGAAGACCTAAAAAGAAATAATACAAATCATGTTAAATATTTAATTAATAATATTATTTACATCGGGGTGGATTTGTTTCTTGATGAAGTGCATATCTTTCAATTTCATAAATAAATAAAAATCCTAGATAACAAAAATCATTGAAAAATATTAATAATTGAAGAAAATAAATTGTTACCTAATGAATCAGCAACAAATAAAGTACGACATGTATGATCAAGTTTAATTTGTGTAATTGTACTCATTCTTTCTTTATTCTATAAATAATTCAAAAAGAAAATAATTAGATATGTAATATCCTCATTCACAACAATTATTATTTACTGGTCGAAATTTTGCCATTAAAACTCCATTTTTATAGATATTCCAAAAATGAACTTCACCAAATGGTCCACTACCAATTAAATTAGCTGCATCATGTCGACCAAATCTTGAATCAATAAACTTTACACGACTTATAGCTCGATCATTTGGATTTTCTACAACACAATAAAATATTTCTAAAAAAAAGAAAATCTTTTATTTTGTTTTACCTTGAAATGAACGTTGATTTTTATCTTTTAAAGTCACAAAAACCATTTTACTTGATAAATTTGAAACAATAATTGTTCCACCATAATCTCCAGTTGCAATAAGATCACCTTGTGATTTATCAATACATAAAATATCTTCTTTATGACCATCTGATTGTTTATTACCATTACAAAATTGATCATCAGGATAACAAATTTGTTTGATTTGTTCTCGATCGTCATTAAAAACATTGATATTTTTATCCCATCCAACAGCTAATATTGAACAATTATTATTAACAACAACAAAAGCTACAGCAGTTATTTCGAGTGAATCTAAAAAGAAAGATGAGAATTTATTTTTAATTATTAAAATAGTTGTTCTAACCATGAGGTTTTTTGAATATTTTTAATAATTGTCCATTATGAACATTCCATATTGAACATGTTCCATCTCGACTACCAGTCACTAATCTTCTTTCTGTTGTATCTAATGTCATCGATGTTATAGCTTGACCATTATGTGCTTGAAATTCATGTACTTTTCTTCCACTTAATAAATCCCATAAACGAATAACTCCATTTTCTGTACATGATATTATTTGTTTAAATTCTTTAATAAATAATAAACCAAGTATAGGCTCATAATGTGACACAACAACATCAGCATGTAAATATGGACTAATAATTAGAGAAATTCATTTTCTTTATTAATTATAGAAACAAAAAATAAATAAATCTACCGTAATTTGAGATTTAGAAATGACATTTGTTCACTTGCAAATAATAAAGAATGTGTGTATGGATTATAAGATACAGCTTGTAAATCTCCACGTATTTTGTGAACTTTTGG